CATAGTTTTAAAATACCATAATACTTTCCTTTTTTTGCACAGGGCTGTCTTGTGCACAGACCTGTCTGATTGGGCTCTATCCTTGAAATGGTCTTGACATACTGAGTCCGCTGGTTTTGCAGTTAATCCTGTTCAGGCAGGATATGCTCTGCTGAAACACCTGCCCTTATCAAGAAGGGACAGCTAACAGCCTTTTCGGGTACTGATCCCTTTCTCTGTTCTCTCCTTCTTGTTTTTCCTTGAACCGGGTGATTTCCTTAACTTGTCTCCCGCAGTGATTGACATCAAACTAGAGAAACCTCCTGAGCAGCCAGTAACGGAGAGCGGGTGCTCCTGCTAACAGGCCTGTTCTGTAGCAGCACATTCCCCAACCGGCCAGTCTCACTGAAGAACATCACTGCTCATTGGCTAGGCAACCCTACTTTGTGGGCTGAAAAACCAATCTACTAAGCGAGCGAACTCCCTGTTTACTGGTGGGGAGCAGCCCCGGCCATCCCTCTTACTGCATGGTATGAGCCCTGAGTGCAGAATGAGTGTCCTGTCTTTTATTTTATTTTTTTATGTTGTTGCACTTTGGCACTGTGGTGCCCTTTATACTCTATCTCTTCCTCTCCTTCTCCCTCTCTTCCCCACCTTGAGCCTGTCTGCTCAGATGTATCTTGTGAATGCAATGGAAAAGCCACCAAGTTAGGGAAGAGAAAAGTAAAGCTTGGGCGCAGGCTTTCCATCTTCCTTACTGCCTTGCATCTTAACTAGTTCCCTGTCCACTCCAGCCCTGTCTGTCCTGCATCCCCACTTTCTCTGTTGAAAGGCTGCTCCTTTTAAACTAGTCAGTTTGACTTGGCCTTGCCTTTTTGGACAATACAGGTTATTTGTTTCTAGGCTTTTGCTTCCTGCAGGGCACACACAATATTAACTCCTCAGTTTCTCCTTTCTGTGGATGACCTTGGCTAACTCTTGCTCACGACTTCTGAGTTTTACCCCTCGTGTTACACACAGCACCAGAAACCCCCAAACTCTGATAGCTTTGGCCTTGTTGCTCCTGTTTGTGTAGCAGAGACACCCCACAAGACTGCTCTCCTCAGTTGGAGTGTCTTTCCCATCCAGAGGACATTGGCGCTCGGCGAGTGTTGGCTGTTGGAGGTGGGGAAGGAAGAGAGTACAGAGGCTTTGCAGCGTGAGGCTGAGTGGAGAGAGATCCTCAGGGTGCTTTGTAGAGACCTGGGTCCTGTCTGCCAGCGGTGAAAGACATGGAGCAGGAGAGCTACAGCAGACTGAAGGCCAGTGATAGCTGTTCTACTCTCATACTTAGGTTGCTGCTTGATGAAATTGTACATAGCTGCTTCTGCCATTATAGTAGGCTTCTGGGGGATGGGGCTAGTAGCCATTTCACTTTGGGGATAGTTTTAAGTTGCAACATTGCCAAAGCCGAGATGAGCAGTGGCAGGGATTTATTGTCAGACCTGGGTAGAGGAACAGAGGATTGTATGCTGAAGAAGTGATATTTGGTGTCACTTCTCAACCTTGGAGGTTAGGAAATCTCTCCTCTTCCCCTGCCCTCTCCCTCTAGTTTATAATTGTGCTAATAGAGCTCTTCAGAGACTTTTACTGGGTGGAGTTTTTTTTGTCCATCTGTCCTAACCAGAAGTCAGTAGGTTTGTCTGACACAGAGGAGAACAAAAGAGTCAGATGGTGGCAAGCCATTCACTGTTCTTTTCATCACCTGGCCTATGTTGTGCTGACGGGGGGATGCTAGTGGGCAGGAGAGCAGCTGACTGCAGCGTGACGGGTGGGGACAGCGTGTTCGGTGCTTCGTAACACTCCCCTGGCAGGATGCCTGTTGGTTGCTGACACAGCGTGCGCACTTTGAAGCCTGCGGGTCAGCGCGGGAGGGGAAGGGGCAGCCTTGGACCCAGAGCTGGCAGTCCCCGCGGGAGGAGCACCCGGCTCGCCTAGCGCCAGGGCTGCTCTCCGGCCGCGTGGGCTTACTGGCGGCAAGTCGCCTCGCTGCTGGTGTCCGACCTTTTATTCCCCAGAGCCCTGTCCCTGTCCCCTCCAGGTGAGCTGTCCTGCAGGAGGAAGCTAGGATGTTGTTTCCCATTTCACTCTGGAGTGTGTGTCCCCCCCCACCCCCCCATCCACAGCCCCAGCGCCGGTGGGAAGCTCAGCCCCCTCCTCTGTACATACCCCTGTTGTGTGGGAATTGCTGATGTTTGTCAGTGTGTCTGTGTCTGCCGTAGAACAGGTTTTGCTGTCCCCTTCTCACAGGCAGGTGTGCGCTGCTCTGCTGTCGTGTTGTTCCAAGTCACGGACCTGGGGGGAGGGAGGGGGGGAGACCCTAACTAACTGGGGGGTAACTAGTGAAATAAAATAGTTCACTTCCCACTGTCTTCTCTATGGATGTGTATAATATTGAGTGTGTGTCTGGCCCTGCTGTCTCCTAGCTGTTAGCCGACTAAGTGTGACTATTAATATGAGTATGGACTGTCTGACCACAGCCGTGTATCACACTAAATAAAGTTATTTCACCAACACCTTTGCTGTCCTGCTGCCAGAGAGGGGCCAGGGTCTGCCTCTGCTTATTTTACTCGTAGGTTTAACATGTCTGTCCCGCATAGGGTATGGTGGATGGACGAGCTTACCGTGTGTAAGCATGGCTTTGGGATTAGAACCAGAAGGGCTTTAAACCATCCTAAACATCCCTGACGGGACCCCCTCCCCAGGCCCTCACAAGGCCCTTCCTCCTGGCCAGGGAGTTATTAATTGACAAACAAAAGCTGCTCCAATGCTTGTGACTCTTGGACTCTGTTTTGCAAGTTGCTAAAAAAATGCGATGTTGCCAGACCTGTTGTTTTCCCAACAGGAATTGGTAACTTCCTGTTTGTCCCATCAGTTCTGGAGGATGAAATGGACTGTGGTGGCCAGTGCAAACCCTGTTACTGCTGTGTCAATTAAGATACCTAAGACATGAATGTGTCTTGGGA